CCTGCACAAAATTAATGGCAATTAAACCACTCATAATTTGAAACCAGGCCACCCGCACCCAGGTTTGTGTTGAAAGAAGCAAGGGGCTGAATTCAGGCCAGGTTAGTTATGTCAGTGCTAGTCTGGGTGAAGTCAAGTCCCAAAGGAGAGCTCAGACAGCGAAATGAGGCAGGTAGAAATTAAACAGCGATAGCCCGAGCGAGAGAAGGAAGGGAGACCAGAGAGAGCGAGAAGGAGCAATTAGATCCGGAGTGACCAGATGGCAAGACCCTAGATAGAGGCAGAGAAGACACAACCCAATTTGCCAGGTTTGTAGCAGCTCTGCCTGGTGGACTCCTGGTCTCTTTATCAGCTCTCCCAAGTCCTGAGATGGGCTAGACCAGGGCTACTCAACTCAAACCATTTGTTTGTGGCCCACGGTGCGGTTTGGGTTGATGTGGGGTTCAACACAAGGCCCACGGGTGGGAGCCAAAGCAAAAAAGTCATCAATATAATGGTCTGTTGATATGGTGCTGAAAGATCCGACCGGGGCCGTGCGCAGCTTGACCTTCTGCTCACAAACAGGGAGGAACTAATAGGGGAAGCGGAGGTGGGTGACAACCTGGGAAGCAGGGATCATGAGATGGTAGATTTCAGGATCCTGACCAAAGGAAGAAAAGAGAGTAGTAAAATACACACCTTGGGCTTCAGAAAAGCAGATTTTGACTCCCTCAGAGACCTGATGGGCAGAATCCCCTGGGATGCTAACATGAAGGGGAAAGGAGTCCAGGACAGCTGGCAGTATTTTAACGAAGCCTTATTGAAGGCACAGAAAGAAACCATCCCGATGCGTAGCAAGAGAGGCAAACATGGTAGGAGACCGAATTGGCTTACGGGGGATATCCTTGGTGAACTTAAGCACAAAAAGGAAGCTTACAGAAAGTGGAAACTTGGACAAATTATCAAGGAGGGGTTTAAATGTATAGCTCAAGAATGCCGGGGGGCGCAAATGGAATTGCGACTGGCTAAAGATGTGAAGGATACAAGAAAGGTTTCTACAGGCCTGTTAACAAGAAGAAGGTGATCAGAGATGGTGTGGGGCCCTTACTGGATGAAGGAGGTAACCTAGTGACAGATGATGTGTGGAAAGCTGAAGTACTCAATGCTTTCTTTGCCTCTGTCTTCACGGATAAGGTCGGCTCCCAGACTAATATGCTAAGTGACGCAAGATGGGATGAAGATGGACAGCCCGTGGTGGGTAAAGAACAGGTTAGGAACTATTTAGAAAAGCTAAACGTACACAAATCCATGGGTCCGGACTTAATGCATCCAAGGGTACTGAGGGAGTTGGCAAATGTCATTGAGGAGCCTTGGCTATTATCTTTGAAAAGTCGTGGAGATCGGGAGAAATCCCGGATGATTGGAAAAAGGCAAATGTAGTGCCCATCTTCAAAAAAGGGAAGAAGGA